TACCAGTAATTATAAGATCCTGCAACATTTTTATTAAGCAAGTATTTATTTTCAGTGTTAACATTAACTTCTATTCCTACAAAAGAGGACAGAGATTGTGAGCAGGCTGATAGAATTGATGTTTCCAGGTAGTAGCTTTCTATATTGGTATGATTTGTGTTTAGTTTGAAGTCAGTTGTGGTCATGTACAGTGATTTGCATGCTATACAGTACATAATATCTGATGTCCTATGTTCAGGTCTGCTTCTTCCAATAATTTGGGTGTCAGAGGTGCCTAGAAACATAACCACAATACTTGCCATCACAAAGGGGCACCTGTATTTGTGGATATGCTGCATTAGACGTTACTTAGTCTTTATGAAGGCAGCCAAAAGGCCATCTCAATTGGAGCATTTGTGACATCTGAATTAACATTGTGGTTACTAGCGGAATGACACATTCAGCAGTAAATATTAATTCCCAGCTTCCTCAGTCTGATGAGAATGTAGTAGACACATTATTTTCATGTTATTGCTATTCTTCTACCTATCTGCTTCCTTCTATTTTCTGACGTTCGTATTTGATGGGTGAAAACATAACTGGAGAAAGAAAAAAAAGTTTTCTCCATTTATAGTAGATGTAGGTTGAGAATACCACATATGCTTCTCAGTATGCGGTTCTATCTTAGTCAAAATGATAGCGACACATTCTATTTAATTTCTAGTTCATTTGCTGAATACAATCTGCTCAGCACTTCACAGTATGGCAGTTGGTAACTCTGATAAGTATTCATACATTTAAATTTTGAAACCATTAGTATGCTTAAGATCTAAAGCTTAGTGTTATTGTTTTTGATTACTACAGCTAATTTTGTTCTTTATACTTAAAAGGTTTAATATAGAGGCACAACAGAATCCATAGTGTAGAACAACAGAAGTTCAATCCACCTCTCCTTGAAAACCACTGGGACTTACATCATGGCTCCATCTCCTACCCTATTGTAGTTGTCATTGCCATTACCTAGGAAGATCTCCTCAGGCATTCTTCCTCTGTCCCCTCCATTGTGGGAGAGAAATAACCCCCCCCACACACACACATACACACTGTGTCATTTTCTGGCTAACTTCTAAGTAAAAGAAATACAATACAATAATTGTTATATTTAATTTGTGTTTTGATTTATTTGAAGGCCAAGTAAAGTGGAATGAGTTGTGGATTGAGCATGCTTGTGACATAAAAAACCTTGAAACAATCTGTATAGGAATTTTATATCATCTCCTGGTTGTAGAGCATCAAAACCTGTGACTAGAGGAATCAGCCTCTAAATAAATAATAAATTTCCTAAAGTATGGGGGGAGAAAACGTAACACCGTTAAAAATAAAAGTTAAAATTACAGAGAAACCCTTTATAGCTTTAGAAATTAGAATTCAGGTAATCGCTGCTAGAAGACATAAATTACCAGGGATCCAGCATCTGCAAAAAAAGGCTCCAATATCCTTAAGTAAACCTAATAACTCCAGCAGACCAAAAAATGACAGTGATCTACCACCAATAAGGAAGAAACCAATATCACAGATTCCTTAATGGATGGGTTGAAACTGACAGAAAATACAAAATCCTGAAAGTATGCAGAGAAAACAAGAACAAGTGCTACACCACACCGAAAATTAAGATTAAAAACAGGAATTTTTTTTTAAATTTGATTTATATGCCGCCCTTCTCCAGAGACTCAGGGCGGCTTACAATGCGCTAAGCAATAGCCTTCATTCTTTTGTATATTTATACAAAGTCAGCTTATTGCCCCCACAACTGGGTCCTCAATTTACCTACCTTAGAAAGGATGGAAGGCTGAGTCAACCTTGAGCCTTGGCGAGATTCAAACCTGCAGTAATTGCAGTAATTGCAGGCAGCTGGTCTTAATAACCAGCTTAATAACAGGGTGCCTTAGACCACTGTACTACCAAGGCTCTTAATTAAAGTATTAATTAAGAATTAATTAAGAATTAAAGTATGCCTACCCAAGTGCCAAGTTAATCAGATTTTTCTTCTGATTTCAAGTTACTTGGACTTCCTTTTTCTTTTTCTAGAAGTTTCCAACTATAATCTGGAGCCAAAGGTAATGATGTCAGCTTTCCCCTTCTTTCAGCTCATGCTTGAGAGAAGTTGTGCATCTAAACACAACCAGCAATTGAAGTGGCAGGGAGGTTGCAATACTGTGAATGCCATCTGGCTTTGGTAAACAACAGTTATAAATGGAGTTTTCATACACCTTTCGGTTTTGTCAACCATTTTTTTTCCTCCCAAATACCTTTGAAATGGAAGGGTTTTGTCAAATTTCCAATAATCGCTTCCGACTATTTGGAACTTTGGCTGAGTAGTTTCATCCCCAATATAGCAATGCTGTGTGTGTGTGTGTGTGTGTGTGTGTGTGTCTGTCTGTCTGTCTGTCTGTCTGTCTGTCTAAGGACACATTCACATTATGTATGTATACACAGATGCATGTGTGTATGTATACACACACATTCACATACACAAATACAAACATACTAGGGTTTTGCTTCTTGAATCTTCCTTTCCAGAAATATTTACTCAGAATGTGTGCATAAAAGAGACAGAAAGAGTTCTTTGTGGAAGAGAAAGGTTGATGAAGCTATGGGTGTTTATATAAAAATGGAAGTAAGTATTCATCAGTTTTACAAATGAAATATTTTGTTTTAAAAGTATACATTTAATTAAGTAATTAATTAATTAACTTTTTTTCTGCTTTTTGTGATGTGTTCTCTTTGGTCAGTGCAGGTAGTCCTCGATTTACGACCATAATTGAGCCCAAAATTTCTATTGTTAAATGAGACATTTGTTAAGTTAATTTTGCCCCATTTTATGACTTTTCTTGCCATAGTTGTTAAGTAAATCACTACTATGGATAAGCTAGTAACTTGGTTGTTAAGTTACTAGCTTATCCATAGTAGTAGTTGAAACTGGCTTCCCCATTGACTTTGCTTGTTAGAAGGTTGCAAAAGATGATCACATGATCCTGGGACACAGCAAAGATCATAAATATGAACCAGTTGCCATGCATCTGAATTTTGATTGTGTGTGTGTGTGTGTGAGTGAGGGGGGGGGAGGGGGGGGAAGAGAGAGAGAGAATGAATCAGAAATGTCTGTAGTTCTATATCCTGTCTTATTACTCTATTCTGTTTTGGGGTGAGCCATGTTCTTCAAAGCCCCACGTTTGCAAATCACTCTTGCTTACACATACCCACACACATTCCTTTGAAACACTCAAAATCTTAGTTTGCTTTTGCATTTTAAAAAATTATTCTGACTCCCTTTATCGATTTTACAAAGTCTCATTTGCTCTGTGTGTCAATAAACTCTACTTCTTAAAAGATGTCCTTCATGAGCTAGTCTGATTCTTTGCATGGACCAGTTCACGTGCCTTATTTTAGGAAGTTTTAGATGAAACTTGTACATTTTGTTAAGGGTGGCATCCTTGGTTTTCCTAGTTTGCAAACATTGGATTCTGTCTGACCCACTTTACAGCATGGGTGTTTTTGAGCCATGCTACTGCATTTTTGCTCAGATGGATTCTGTTCAAGTGACTCCTTGAAGGACCCCAGACAGTAGTGCAGTAGTGCAGCCTGCTGTTGACTTCTGTGCCCCTCTAATGATTACCTGGCTGTCTGGAGAATTCTGACCCTCTTCTGTGCAGAATAATTAGCTTTTGAGATTTCATTATGACTCTATTTTTTTTTTTAAAGAAAAATGTATGCAGGGTGTTTTTAGACATTTGTTGCTTAGTTCTGAGTATAATTGCACATTATCAATATATAATGTCAGTATTTGCAAACTACGGTTGATACTGTTTCTAATTGCTGCTATTTTTTACACAATGAATTAGTTTGGCAAGGTACGTTTAGGGAGTGACCATTATTAGGAAGCATGTTTAGTATGTGAGGGCCAGACACACTTAAAGGTCATCTTTTATTCCTATTAGTGCAAATGGATTTAAGCTTCAAGAAGTACAGTATTGTAGCTGTGAGGCTGAAGAAAATGAAGTTCTTGACCTATTGCAAATGTAATGCCACAGATGGAATATCAGCACAGCTTAATTAGTAATTTCAAACTTTGCCTGTTTACCAAAATGTGTGTGTTCCATCTGCTTTATAGCCATTCTGGTACTTTAGTTTAGAAAATAATCTCTTGTTTCCCAATCTGCTTTAAGTGGATTAAGGCATGTTGCTTATTTGCTCTCCCCACTTTATGCATGGTAAGTGAATTATTGCAGGAGGGAAATGTTCTCCAAAATCATCCTGTATTGCCTTGGGTTGAAATTAATTGGTACCAGAAACTCAATTGTAAAAACTCCTCTTAAAACTGAATACAATGAAAATTCAGATTGGAAGAAATGGAAGAAATAGTAAGACTGCCTTTAATTCTCTCTCTTTTTTTTTTTAATTAAATATGAAATATGTCAGAAAGTTTTCCTGGTGCTTTTATAATTTTCAAATTGTCATTGATAGGCCTGCTGTTAGCAAAAACTTCCTGGTTTAAAAGAACTTACAACATTACTAAGTTAAGGATTTTCGCAAATGTTGCACTTTTTTCATACTGCTTCATAAATGTTAGTTTATTCAGTATTAATTCCAGTATATTTAGAAGTCAAGCAAGTTCTTCTTGCATTCTGTTTCAAAATGTATTGTTAACTGTTCTGTGATGATGGGTTGTTGCATTTCCAATTTTGACTGATGCAGGAAAACTTATTTTTCTCTTTGAAATGTAGGATTTGTTGCCTAAACATATTGTTTCTGACTTTTATATGCATATATTTATTTATATAGTATGATGTTTGTGATTTCTTTGACTATCCAACGTTGAACCAGTCTTGCCAACAAAACCATCAAACATTTCCTATTTCTCTACTCTTCTTGTTTTTAATTTTTACTTTTTAAATAATACATTTTTGAAAAAAAATCTCTTAATGGGAAACCTGGCACTGTCTGTCTTCTCTGTTCTGCAGAAATGTTGAAGGAGTTGAACCAGCAACGCAGAGCGAAAGAGTTTACAGACCTGAAAATTATTGTTGAAGGCAAAGAGTTTGAAGTCCACCAAAATGTTCTAGCTTCCTGCAGCTTGTATTTCAAGGACCTGATTAAAAGGTTTGCCTTCCTTCCAGCTGTGATCTGGTCTGTTCTTTTGTAGGACGCATTTGTGTCGCTTTTTTTTCCTCCCCTCTCTTTCAGGTTTATGAAGATTTGACTCTCCTGTCACAGAGCCAGTAGCCATTCTTTCCACTTACTCTGAATGTATTTTTTTCAAACAAAAGACTCAGATTCATTTCTTACACATAAGCTGATCTGCACAATTCCAGATCTCATTATTTGCACATTTTGGCTGAAGAGAAATGCTCTGTCATGGAGCATTTTAAAATCAAACTCAAACAACTGAAAAACAGCGTTGATCACAAAACACAACTTATTAGGTTAATAATTAAAAAGGGATACTACTAACTCTTCCTCCAGGCTGCAATAACCAATATTATTTAAAAATTGCCAAAGTTTTCATACTAACAAGGATTGTGTTGTATAATAGACATTTAATCCTTTGGACGTTGACATTTGGGACATCTGATGCTTGTGGAATTGAAAAGGGTGAATACATGATAAATCAAATATTGAAGTTATACCTTTTTAACATGACTTTATTTAACAAAGAGAGAAATTTAACTTTTAAAAAAATCCTGAATTCTTTCTACTTGATAGAGTAACTTGACCATGTAGTGTGTTAGGCCTGCCATAGTGTCTTTGTGTAAATTTCCATCTTTGCAATTTTCCCCCTCCATCTGATTGTAACATTGCATGTAACGGTTTATTTACCATTACATGGATTATTTTAAAATGTGTTTCCTTCATAAATTCATGGTATTTTTACAGTATTAGCAAATCAACATAGCAAGATTGGGGGAACCCAGAAGAGTGCAATAATGTTCATATTTCTACAGTCATCAGCAAATTAATCTGGATCCTTATTTCCACCTCACTGTATTTTTCAGAACAGACTCTGAACCTGGACTGTACAAAAAGAGAAAAAAATGGGAATTGCAAAACATTGTGTTGGCTTTCAAATTGAGCTTTTAAACGTTGTCACTAACACACTAGTGGCTATATTTTATTTCAGGGTTGCATTTTTGCTGTGTCTTCTTGTCTGAGAAACAGTAAAATGTCCTTTCATTAAAGCTTGGGATTTTTTTATTTGTTTGTTTTTAAATAATTGTGGTGACACTATACTATCGTTGTATAGCTGAACTAACTGCCTTATCAATTATTCACAAAGAGTTGAGCTAGTATCATACTTTTCCCCCTTCCATAAACCAAATTATAGCTAGCTTTAGTTGCTCTTGGATTCTATATTCCTGCCTGCTCATTATCACTTACTAGTGAAGGTTACATTATATGCCTCTTGCCAAGATGAGATATATATTCTGCAGGGAAAGTCTTTGGCTCGATTGATAAAAATCCTGTAATTGACTAGCCTTGCAGTACCACTGATTTAATTGCAAAGTCTCTTCCTTTCTAGTCAGGTTGTCAGATACCATCTGTTTCTGGAGAAAATCAGATCTGAATTCAGTAATAATTGTAGAATACTTTAAGACAAATCACTGATACCCTCCTAATGGTTTTTCTTGCAATTTTAGCATCTTCAACTTTTGTGAGCCTCCTTTAAACAATTTAACAGAAGATGAGATGAAATGCTTTAATTAAGCAATTCAATGAATGTATCTGGATGATACTTCTGGGACTTCTTTTTGTAACTTGCAAAATTCTTTCCTATTATTGCCAGGACCTGATAATATAATGTCTACCACTTTGCATTGGTAAATGTTAACATTATTTGCTATCAATCACATTTAGCCTATTAAGAAAACCCCAACTCCCTTGAACACAAATATGTTAGGACAGTCCTGACTTTGTATGTAACATAGCTGCATCCACTTTGTACCTAAAACCTCCCTTTGTTTCATACTAACCTTCCAGAAATTTTCCTTCCAGGACAGTAACATTTTCATATGTATCATATGAAAGTGAAATTAAAGTTAACAAGAAGAGGCTCTTACTGTTCTTTATAACTAAAAATGGATGAACATGGAACTTGGTAACTCAAGGAGAACTACTAGCACTATATAATATCTTCTGACAGATGTATATATAAGTGAAACTGAATACATATGGCTAGAGTCAGTGATGGGCTGCTGCCAGTTCAGATTGGTTTGGGCGAACTGGTAGTTCCAACCAGCGGCTGGCCCCGCCCACCCATTCTGGCGCTATCACATCCTATATAAATGCTGTTTTTTTGATGCTGTGAGCATACGCGTAAGGCGCGCGAGCTAAGCGAGAGAGCACATGGGCTCATATTTTCCATTCCGGGCAAACCGGTTGTTACAACCGGCAGCAGCCCACCACTGGTTAGAGATAGTACTTTCCATTACTCTAGTTAGAACTAAAACGTCCACACTCAAATTTTCATAAGACTTTTCTGACTCCTGCATTCTCTCATATATAAACATATAAATACAAATAGCAAGAGATGCAAACAGAATAAAACTTAAAGATGGAAAACCAAAATAGCTTAACAAGGATAAGCATGAATTATCTGTTAAAATGGGGCTTCTAGTTAGGAAGAACTAAGTATTACAGTTGTGTGTAATTACACCCAAATAGTTTTCGTTTTGTTTTTTACTTTGTAGAGCAAATACACAAAGATGTGTATTTTAGAATGCAGAAGCAGTGAATGGATGAAGGAGGGATCTCTTGCTCCCTTTAGATATGCTCCAAATTGCAGTCTTTAGCAAAGGGCCTCTATCACAGGGTTCCAAATCTGGAATATTATATGTTGGAGCATTATGGGTGGAAACCATTCTTATGGTGGATGAGAAGGGCAGGCATTAGCACTGCTTCAACCATTGATTTTGAGCTAGAACTCTATGTTACATCAGCAAACACAGTGCCCCAAATAAATGTCAGCTGAATACCAACATGTAGGAAATACAATTCTGGAGAAGAATGTTGGGAAAGACTCCTTTGAAACTATGTGTATAGTTTTGTGAACTTATGTTTGCTATACAGCATATATTTAATAAATTTCTTAGCCAATTTTCAACAGTATAGTCTTCTCAGATGTGTATTTTAAATTTATGTGAACAGATTTGGAAATCGGCTGAGATTCCATTCCACTTCCTTTCAGGCAGAGTTTTTTGCGTCCTTTTCAGGCATATATAACTCGAATATTCCTGTATCCATTTCTCCTTCAATTATTTTGGGGGTTGCATTGTGTATGAACAGAGATGCCAGACATCACCATTCATGACTGCAGTTCTTCCGATTTTGGAGGGTTACATTTTAACTATGGTTTTATATCATAAGAGGTATTTATATCATAAGAAAGATGATTAACTTATCTATCTGTAGGTAGGTCAATAAGACAACTCTGCACACACAGATACAGCACACACGTGTATGTCTTTCTGTATTTAGCTATTAGCTATTGTAGTCCCTAGAAATTGTAGCTTCGGGTTGAAATATTTCCTTTTATAGACACTGGTAGAAAATAACTTGAAATTAATTTCAGGTTCCAAATATTTATGGTGTATTTTTTTTTTATTTGCTGTTTTTGAAACTTACAAGAACTTCCCACTCATCTGCATGGAAAGTTTGTTGAAGTTTGTTGAAAAAGAGCCTGAATGGCATAGGAGGCTAATGCCTCCTAAGGCAGCATTTAACATCCAGCTGCCTGCAATTACTGCGAGTTCAGTTCTCCCCAGGCTCAAGGTCGACTCAGCCTTCCATCCTTTCTAAGGTGGGTAAATTGAGGACCCAGTTTGTGGGGGCAATAAGATGACTTTGTATAAGTATACAAAAGTATGAAGGCTATTGCTTAACGCCTTATAAGCCGCCCTGAGTCTCCGGAGAAGGGCGGCATATAAATCAAATTAAAAAAAAAAAAGTTTCAAATCTAACTTTCTTGTTATATTGGTGTCAACATCCTGTGAAAATGTTCACACTTTTTAGGTCACAAGCCAAAAAATACTAGCAAAACCTCTACCATGCCTGAACTAATATTGGTTCAAGTATGGTAGAGGTAGGTCAAGAGAATTTGCTGAAATGAATCAACAACTAAGTAAAATAGTAACATTGTGTTTTAATGGGGACATGAAAGGAACCCCAAACTGGGCATCCCCTGGGCAACAGTGATGTCACCATCTAATCGGCCTAGAGGTGCTTTTTCAAGAGGCAACTGGACTTTCTTGTTTTTTCTTTGAAGACGTTTCACTTCTCATCCAAGAAGTTGAAGAAGCTTCTTGGATGAGAAGCAAAACATCTTCAAGGAAAAAACAAGAAAGTCCAGTTGCCTCTTGAAAAAGCACCTTTGGGACAACCATGACCTCGTTGACTGACAATCTCCATAGATTCTCACCATCTAATCCTCCCAACCCGGAAGCGCCTCAATGCTTCCAACACAAAAGCAGCTGTTTGTTTGTGTTTGGTCTGCCCTGTTAACGATAATTCTTTAATTTTATCCCAGATTTTTGATTAAGTTTATTCTGTGTATTCAAGTAGATTAGTACTTTATGTATTACATTTATATGCCACCTGACTCCTGATGACTTCCAAAACTGAACATGTATAAATCCTATTAATTTCTGCAGAAGGTCGCTGCATCCTGTAATGATTTTCTTTATAAAACCACATGAAGCTATACTTTAGGCCTCCTTTATTAAGATTCAGTGCACTTGGGAAAACAAAGCTAGAAATAATTATGCACTTGTTTAGCCAAGTCCTAGTTTTTGTTTTCAATTTGCACTTTTAGTGAAAGTATCTAAAACTGAGTAAATACTAAATCTGCTAAATGCCTGTTGGAACACAACAAAATTAGCAGCGAAATTAACAGCCATTGAGCACAACACAATTAACCAAGACACTCTTGCCATCTGAGGCAAGGAGTAGCAAATGCTGTCAAAACTTTGGAGAGTATCCAAAGTCATCCTAGTTATTTTGGAAGCAAATCAGAAAAACCCACAAACGCTTCTCCCCTTACCTGGCAATAAAAGCATATGAATGACAAATTAACACTGTACTCCTTTTCATGATGCTAAACATTTGCT